AGTGCTTCAGAGAAAACAGAGATAATTATGAAAAGAAAAAACTTTTTAAAGGAAAACTCATTCCTATTCTCTCTTTCTTTCTTGTATCTAGGCCTTGGTTCCGTGAAATTAGCTTCAGACCTAGAGCCTTGAAAGAGGAGAGACGCTGGGGTAGGGTTATACTTTTAGGAAACCATATATTAAGGAGAGGAATTGCAGTAAAAACAAGGGAAAGAAATAATAAGTGGGGACTATTCTCTTCCCCACGCCCCAGGTATTTCATTTAATAGTTTGATGTTTTGTTCTTATTCTTGTTCTGTTTTCTATTTAATCCTTTATGTATTTAATCTTGCAATATTCCTCCCTTCTCTCATTTTTTTTACTACAAACTTGTTGTTTATTATGTGCTCTTATTGATTAGTTTAATTATAATTCATTACGGGCCGTGTTGTGCAAGTGACAAGTCTCCTTGTTTTACCGTAACCTCGGCCTTGCAAGAACAGATGTGGATTACATGAAAGATTTTTCCATAACCTTAAGCTTCTATATTAAAATTGGAATATTAAATTTACTACTTTATAATGATAACATGACTGGTATTGGAACTTAGGATAATTGCTTTTTTACCTTAAAAAGAAAAGAATCTTTTTTTTTTTTTGGTTAAAGAAAAAGAAAAGAACCATGTTTACAGGCAATGCATGTTTTACACACCGAGGGAAGTGACCATGATTCATGTGTGCATGACCTTCCATTAGTTTACATGAAAAATATTTGGTTGGTGTCTTCAATTTCAAATTTAAAACAGTTGAGGATGAGTTTATAATGGTCATCTCTTATTATATAAAAAATTATATGATGTGATGAAAGTATAAAAATATATATTTAAAGTGTGCTTAATTATTGACATTTGTGAAATTAAGGGTTAAGAGTTGTATTTTTCTATAATTAATTTTATAAGGAATTATTCTATCTATGTTGTACAAATTTTTTATGATTGAAGGTTTGATAATTAAATGAAGAGAATTAGAAGAAAAGGAGTTAAATGCAAAGAGCCAAGAAGATGATTTAGGTTTCAACCCCTGACCAGTGCAAATGGATAGTAGCAAGAAGGGTTTTGCACCCTGTGACCAGGTTCCAACCTCCTGGTCAGTCATGTGCTAAAACAAAAACATGCAAGATTCCCGTACCCTAATTTGAGGTTCCAACCCTTATTTGATAAGATTGTGCGAAAAGAAAGAAAGAAATAAAATTAATTACCCATGACTGTTATCCTAATTACCAAACACTCATATTTTATTCTAAATATAAATAGGAGCCTTTAAAACTAGGTTTAATATCTAGAGAAATGATACTATAAGGGCAGCTATACCAGAAAACACGCAAGGCAAAGATCAGAGATCTGAGGTCACCGCACCTCGGCTGCGGGACTCAGAGCTTACTGCACCTCGGCCTCTCGCCGAAAGTGTATGGCAGCCACAATAGGCATGCCCTCATCTGATCATTTGTCCCTACCAGAACACCCTTTCTCAAGGGACTTGCTCTGTCAGAATACATCACGCGCATTTAATGCGATCACTCCGTTAAGGCACGTTATGTTCACCTAAAATGTCTACTCTGTCAGGCGCACTATGTCACTATTATTGGATTGACTGAGCCACGTGGGTGCGGACAAGCCACGTGGGTACCTTGCCAAGATGGACAAAGCCCACAAGGTAAGGTTCGATAAATAGGCGGAACCAAAAGAAAAATACTGACTTAAGCATCGGAGTTTCTCCCCGAGGACCAACCTCGGGATTTTGCAGGACCACTTGGAGAAGGATCAACTCGAAGCAGGAACTCAAGGATATTCAGCAACTACATTGGCGCCGTCTGTGGGAAAACGAACAAAAGCCATCACCAGAAGTTAAGATGGTACACACACGAGCAACCCAGCGCGAGAGTCCTCCCCAAGGCCAAGGAAGAGCCCAGCCCCCAAGTGTCAACCCCGTGTCACAGAATGCACCAATTGCAACCGCCCAACATCAGCAGGTGGAGGGAGTTGGGGAACATAGTCCACAATATCCCAACGCCGTGGCAAACGACCCTGTAACTGCTCAACTCAATGCCATGCAACAACAATTCGAGATCTTCCAACTCGTGCTCGCTCAGTTGCTGGCCAGAGATAACCCCGCTGACCCACTTATTCACTTATTGAACCCAGTTCCCCCCCGTGGCCCCCCAACCAACTCAACAGCCTGTCAACTCCCCGGTCCGCAGTGTCGCCCCGACCGCTTCCCAAGCACAATCTCACATGCCACCCCAGCCACAAAACCCGCCCCAACCAGCTGCCTCAGATGTCTCAAAGAGACTAGACAACATAGAAAAGCTGTTGGCTGAGAACAAAAACCCACAGCCACAGACCCCACCTATATCAGCCTTCATCCCCACTCCTCTCAATACCAAAATTACCCAAGAGCCATATCCATCCGGTTTCAGGATGCCACAGTTCGAAACGTATGATGGCACTAAAGACCCTGATGACCACTTACATGCATTTTTCTCCATCATGCAGGCTCAAAACGCCTCAGACGCACTCATGTGCAAGATGTTCCCCTCCACATTGCGCAGCAATGCCTGGACCTGGTATCACACCCTGTGTCCGAACTCGATTAATGCATATGTCGAGCTGGCCACCTCCTTTGCCACCAAATTCTCAAGCAGAAGGTTGATAAAAAAGATGACACCCGAGCTCATGCAGATAACACAAAGAGATGGTGAATCCTTGAAGAACTACATGAATAGGTTCAATGATGCCATGTTGGAGGTCAACGCCTTCGATGAAGCAGTGGGAATAACTGCCGTGATACAAGGCCTCAACCATGATCGGTTTCGAGATAACTTAATCAAGCACACCCCAACCACTTTTGACGAGGTCAATCAGAGATCCCTCAAGTTCATTAAGGCCGAGGAGTACGTCCTCTCCAAACCCCAACCCCCCAAAGAAGCTAAAACCCCCGCCTGGAGAGAAGAAGGCCAGAGCAGAAAGAAGTTCAAACCCACACAGAACCGAGGCCCAATGCTGGTTCCCAAGCTAGACAGGCCCGACTCCAGCACCCCGCAAACGCGGCTTGGGCCACCCTTATGGACCTCCTTCATAATACCGAGGTCGCAAATTTTCATGCAAATCAAGAATAAGATGGAGCTGAGGAGACCAGCCCCTCTACAGAGCCCAGTGGCAAGCAGAGACCACACCAGATACTGTGACTTTCACCAAGATCACGGACATACCACGGAAGATTGCCACAGTTTGAAGTCCGAGCTAGAAAGTTTGGCCCGAAAAGGGATGTTGAATGAATACATTTAGAACAGAAGTTTACCAAAGTTCGTCAAAGAACAGGGACAAGCTCAGGGGTCCCGAGCAACAAATAACAGAGATGGGGTAGAATACCAACAAGCACCAACACCTCTCCCACCCCCATCTAGAGTCATTCACATGATAATTGGTGGGCCCGAAGCAGGAGGCACAAGCTCCAAACAACAGAAGCTGTACGTGAGGGAGGTCAAGCACCGTAATGCAGCTCAGAAAAGAAAGATTGACGAGGAGGATTGGAAAAATCAATCTGTGACATTCACTTCGGCTGACTTCGAGGGAGTTGTCACCCCCCATAACGATCCATTAGTCACCTCGGTCATCATTAACAACTGCGAGGTCCAGCGAGCGCTCATTGACACCGGTAGTGCCCCAGATATAATGTATTACCATTGCTTTGAGAGCCTTGGGCTCGACCCCACCCTCTTGCAAAAGTATGACGGGCCCATCTATGGGTTCAATAATCAGCCAGTACCCGTGGAAGGAGTGCTGCGACTCAACGTGGCGTTCGGTTTCGGACGAACGTATGTAACACCCTCAGTCAGATTCCTGGTAGTGAAGATGGCTTCATCTTTCAATCTCGTCATCGGGAGGCCGACTTTGAGCGAGATTAGAGCTATAGTGTCCCAGTCCCACCTTTG